AGGGCCAGTTGATCATTAATGTTTTTGGCCTCATATTCAAGGAGGGATTGGTGTATTAGATTCCAGAAGAAAATGATCTTGAGTTGTTTTCCTTTGAGCTGGTTGCAATAGTTGGCAATATTGGAAGCAAAAAAACACTCTTAAGACTTTAAAGCAACCTTGAGCATCATATGTCTTTTGATAAAAAAACAAAAAAAGGTATGCTTAGATAAACTTGATCCATATTAAAGAAATAGATTCATTAAACTTGTTAAGCAGCAACAAAAAATTTTAAAAATAAATCTATGATAGATATGAGTCCTGGATCTGGCGAAGGTGATGGTGGGAGAGTGATCCCAATATTAAATAGGTAGAATTATAGCATATAATATAGGAAAGATGTCTAACCGAGATGGGTTGATGAGGATTAGGGGTTTAGGTGAGAGTCAAGCAGCCGGCTTATAAGCCAACTCAAGCTCGACTCACTAACAAGCTTGTGTGTCAAGTTTATCAAACTTCAAGTTCAAGCTCATAATCAAGTTTTCATATTATAAGGCCTCGAGATTGAGGTTAATGAAACTAAACTTGGAAGCTCACGAAGCTACTTGATTAATTTCAAATAATTATAACTTACTCATGTAGTTTGCCTGGGCCTCTTTTTTTGTTTTTTCATTTCCCGTTAACCCTCTTACCAAGAAGGCAAGAAGCCTTCAGAAAGAAGAAAAAAATTAACTTTTCGTGTTTCGTAATCCCCTTGATCCAAAGTTTGATTACACCTTCACCCATCTTGTCCCCAAGCCCAGCATCACTGAGCTCTACAAACCTACAAGGCTGCCGACCAGCATACGCCTTCATACGTTCACCTTCTCCCCTTCATGCTTGTTTGCCACACAAACGACGGTTAGTCCAACAATTTTGAAGTTATCAAAGAAGGATGGACTAATGAACATCCACTCTTAGATCTGATTCTCGCCTATTATTTTAGATATTTTTATTTTCCCGCATTAAATTTTCATATTTTGGTTTTTTGAGAGCATGTTATAATTTCAAGGAGGAGTGTGGCGGTGATTATTACAAAAAAGCTGTGAGCAAGTGAAAATTAAAACTATAAGGCTTTTTGTTCATTATGTGTACTTTGAGGAGACTTTTTTTTCATATGTTTGAACTTTGAAGCGATTTCATTCATCGTAAGTTCCAGCGATAGAGAAACAGGAGTCATTTCTTTTAAGTTAATATGCTAGTAGCATTTGCTTCACCACATAGTGTTGATGAACTTGGGTTCAATAGTCATGAGACATAAATTTTGGTCCCTAAAAAACAATCAAGCTCCAAATTGAAAAATCGCACAAAATTATTGTGCCAATACCTTACCAATCCCATTAAAGCTCTGAACATTCCAAGCAACTAAGGTTGAGTAATACATGAGGAATTTGTTGGGTTAAAAGCAAGGTTTTAAATATTGGACCGGACCACCGATTCGACCGGTTCAACTGTGAATCGGTCATAAGGCCGATCGGTCTATCCTGAAAACCACTTCTGTATCAAACCATCCAGAACCGGCCAGAACCCCCAGTTCAACCGGTAAACTGATGAACCAATCCCGGTTCCTTTGAATCAACCGGTTCAATTGCCTAATTAATTAAATAATTAAATAAAGTAATATATTACATTAAGAATTAAATATTAAATAATATTCACATATTAACAAATTAATTTAAATTTAAAATACTTAATTTTTAAATAAACATTAAATTCTTATCATAATTATTTTATTAATAAAATTTATATTAAATTTACAAATTTACATGTAAATTAAATTTATATTAAATGTGAATAAAATTTAAAAATTAAATGTATTTAAAATTAAAATTATAGAAACTATTGTTTATGTATGTTTTTTTTAGTTACAACTTACAAATTTATATTTTTGCATGATTATTATACCATTATTATTTTATTTAGATAATATTTTAATAATTTTAATATTTATTATATCATATGGTTAAACCTCAGTTCAACCGCAATCTAACCATTGAACCTTGAACCTATGTCCGGTCCAATTTTCACAACCAAGATGAACGGATGGCTTTGATGGTTGAATAGTGTTTCTAGGAGGAGCCAAGAATGGGTACAATAAAGGGAATAAGTGAAGGGGGCAAGAGGAAATGACGGGGAGATTTTAATTGTGTACTATTTGAACTTGATGGAAAGTTAAGATTAGGAATATATGTAGAGGGAGGAGGAGTAGGAGGAGGTGGGGGAATAGATATAGGGTCATAGTTGATTGTGCATTGGGTAGGAGGAGAGCATGTTGGGGGTCTATAAGAAGTTGGATGGGGATGATAGTGTCTCCTTGCTCTGCAACTTCAACTTCAACTTCTACCCCTAAATTGATCTAGGATGAATGATGTGGGAGGTTTGGGTTTAGCGGGACAATGATCAAAAGTATTAAATAGAACCACAACCGTAAGCGAAGGAGGTAAGGGGAGGGTGGTTTTCAGTCATAAATGACTTTTAGCATTTATTTCTGCCAATCAAATTTAAGATGAATTTCTTGAGGCAAAGAGGGACGCTTGAACACAAGCAAAAGCAAAATTCAGTGTGATCTATTTATAGTGAAGGAGTCCAATACTAAAGATTTGCAAACTTTATTGGTAATCTTTGAGATTCTTGAAGGGTTTCAATAACATAAGAGAATATTAGGAAATTTGATCCATAAGCGAATATAATAGAGATCAAATCTAAAAATTTTCAAGTCATGAGATCACCTATGTAGCATGGAGGCCTTTTACAAAAAAACTTATGGACCATAAGTAATATAAAAATCTTATTTGCTTGTAAACTTAAATTAAAAGAGAAGCATTCATTCATAATGAGAGCATTAAAATTACATTAAAGATTCCATGCTTGGTAGAATAAAGAAAAGCACCGTAATAAGGCATCTGACCAAGCAAGTAATTATTAGCCCCTCTTTTAGCTTAACAGGGGACTTGTTCTAGCCTTTAATAATTCAATGTGGTTAAGTGAATCAACCAATCCATTAGAGCACCTAGAATCTAGATAGTCTAGAACTATCTAATAAACCCTAATACACCCTAGTCTAGCAAAGGCTTAGGCTCAACTTTAGTATTGAAATACTAGGATTTACCTCAATCTAACACGACTTTACTTGTCTTGGTCTAACAAGGTCTAAGCACACCTCAGTCTAGCAAAGCTCAACTTAGTTTAAAAAGGCTTAAACCTAGGTTAGTCTAGCAAAGCTAGACTAAACTCATCATAAACATAAGACTTTAATAAGCTAAGAATGAACTTAAACATCTCTAAGTAAAGCCATCAGTGGTCTATATATACACCATGATAGGTTAAACCAACCAGTCAACCTAAACCAACCAAATAGATTGTAAGTGATCTAAGGACTTAAGTCAGTGAAAACTTTTAAATAGAATGAAGCTAAACTATTACATATCAAGGCATCTTTTGGGATAATGATTGACATTTCTTCAAAAATTTTGAAGTTAAATGTGTTCATACTGGACCCACTATAATCTAAAGAATTATTTAAGCTAGCATTAATGTATGAGTAAATGTTTTCTATTGCCTATAAATCAAGACGGAGTTGCGCTAATTCTAAAAAGCTAAAATACGATGATGTTTGTTGCGTACTAAAAAATTTGGGTCGATAGAGATTGTATTTCACGCCTTAGCAATGCACAAAAATTCAACACAAACAGGTAAAAATGATAGGACCGGAGAATTTTTTACTTGGAAAACACATAAAGGGTAAAAGCATGGGGGTCCAGTTGCATAATTCACTATGTAATAGGTGATACAAAAATCCTCTTTTCTTCATTGTTGAAGAAGAGAAAAGTACAAAGATCAAATATTCAAATCTTGATATATTCTAGATATGTTGGAGTTTCTGATGTCGATCGTCGGTGGTGATGGTGGTGGCCGTCGACAACGATGATGGCTAAAAAATGTAGGAGAGCGAGAGCTCTATCGTTTTTCTCATCTTCTCCTCCTTTCTCTCTTTTTTCCTCCCTCTTTCTCTCCTTCATTCCTACCCTCTCAGCTTTTTTCCTCCTCCTTTCTCTCCTTTTTTCCTACCAAAAGTAATGAAGAGTTTATTTATAGTTTTTTGAAAGTGGCATGGCTAGTCAATAGGGAGAAGATCAAGGGCATGTTGGGAGTGTTTCAATGGATGGCCGATATTAACTCCCTTGATCATGGATCGTTTATCAAGCTTTTGATTGTCTTAATGATGTCAGGATTCTGCGATCTTGGGCTCGTTGGATTTGTCACGTCAATCTGCTCGATTCGACTATAAACACATCACATTTAGATATCATTTGGTCATCCAATTTATGCTTTGAACCTTCTAAATAGGCTTCAAACCCTCAATTTGGACCATTTGGGCTCGGATTGGACCAATTTTGGTGTCCTTGGGTTCCTTTCTTCAAGACATTCAGTTTAACTATAAGTTTGTTGAAATCGAAGTTTGGATGGTCTCAAATTTAATTTTGGAAGTTTATGATTCATATTTGCATCAAGATTTGTGCCTGATGAAGATAACGTTTTGATGACATCTCAATGCTAAATGCAATACCAAGCTATATTTGTTAATTCTCTAAAAAATCTAAGGCCTCTTGTGTATATAGGTGGAGTAACCATAGAGCGACCAAAAAGCCATGATCATTATTTGTATCAATTTAGGTCTAGATGGTAATTTACATTATTGCATGGTCAAAATATATATTTTGCAATGTTTGGCGTGTATTAAATAGAACCCAACTTCAATATGACTACTGAGTGAAATTCAATTTCAATGCAAATTATAATATTAATTGCTTTTAATATTATTTATTCTATAATGACCAAAAATTATTGGATCAGTAAATGCTGCATTCATAAAGTATAATGTATATGACAAGCTCATGTCTGCATATGAATAATGATATACAATCCAAATTTAATTTTAGGCATCGCACTATTCATTGAATTATTGCTGATGAAATAAAAGATTAATCTGTTCAGAAGTCATAAATCATGTAGTGACCATTAATTATTTCAAGTTCATTTGTACTGAAGAGAGTTGAATTTAACTTACGATATATCCATCAATGCCCAAAACTTGCAAGCCTGCCAATGATCACACATCCCGCCAACGCAAATAGAGAAAGTATAAAGTTTATCCACCATTACACTGAAAAGTAATCTTGAAAAATAACTGGAACCCTCTGCATTAATTTGTTAATCCGAGTATGCCTTGGCCAAAACCTTAGTGATGACATGGATTATTATTCCAATCGGACAGAAAAGAAGGCATAAAGAGACAGAATGCCGAGTTTCAACATTGTTCTTGATACCATCATAATAAACCTGTCTGAAAATCATAAAGATAACTGTATATCAGAATCCTAGACACATTGTACTCATAGAAAAACAACGCATTAAAATAGACATTTTCCTAAGAAATTGAATTTGAAACAAGACATTCAAAGTATCATGAAAAAAAACCTGGCAGCATAAAGGTCTATGGCTAGCAAGTGAATCCATGCAGAAGCCAAGGTCATTTCATTCATAAACATCTTTGATATACCAGGTAACTGCATAATACAGAAAAATTAAGAAGCAGATCCTATATTCAATAAATGGAGTCATTATGTTGTGCTTTCATTTATAAGGTTTTCAATTTTCCAATTTTAAAACCTATATATCAATGTATTTTTCCACCTCCGTAAGGCTCTGTTTGTTTTGAAGGAATTTAAATAGAGGAAATGAAAATGAAAAGAAAATGGAAAAGGTAAAGGAATTGTATTTAAATTAGTTTTCACTCGCTTGTTAAGTATAAGAAATTGAGTGGAAATTTTTTTTCTGTTTAATTGATGAAAAATCAAACTTTTGTTTCTAATGAGGTGTGAGCCACAATAATGAGCCGATATTTTTTTTTTTTTTATTTTCAGTAGGATTGGATAGGAAATTATGGATAGAAAAATGTATTTGTTAATATTTTAAAAGTAAATTTAATTTTGGGGCAATCACAGAAATAACAACCAAATAATCTTGTATATTTACATAACTAACACTCAATTACCTCAATTTACAATAGTACCACTCAAATCTCAAAAAAGCACAACAAAATTTCAACCCATATTTTTATTTTTCACTAAATTATCAATGATTTAATAGTAGCGAGAATAAATACAAAGATTTAACAGTTCAATCTAAAAACATAGGGATTATAAGCATAGTAAATAAAGAAGTTTTAGATGGTATGCATATAAATCTCCCTTGAAGTTTTTATTATTTACATCTGAACAAAAACCAATGTGAAATTGTATAAGTAAAATTCATTTGCAATCCCTTTCAGTTCCTTTAAACAAAATAAACCCTAAAAGTCAAAACTGAAATTTTTACCTCAGGAAGCCAATATTTACTAGCAAACATCAACCGCAGTGTGTCAGGAGACCATGAATGATAGAGAAGGAATGCGTAAACAAGTCCAAGCACAACATAAGGTAAATCACTCTTCATAGCCCTTCTTGTCTGCATATTTTTTGAAATAAAATTGAAACAATTATATAGTTTTTTTGAGGAAAAACATTTCTATGCAGCACAATCACTTTCTTCTGGTGATGAGCACTGTACAGCTTGTATCAGCTTATAGAAGAAAACAGATAACGACATCTATATATGCACTTGCCAGAGTAGCATTAGGTGCAAGAACCATAAGCGTGTAAAAGGGAAGCACAGAAACGGTAGCCCAAGTGAATGCATTACTGGCGATCATTGAACTTGTAAGCCCTGCGAGGAGAATGGGCTTCAGTGAGAAAGAAAATTTTCAAAAGGAACTTGCACAGATTAACGGCTTAGAATGGTAGAAACTCGCCGTTAATCAAGATAATGTGAATAGTATAAACATGTGATCAACAATAGTTATATAATGATTGCTAGAAACAAAAATAAATAAACAAGATGTTTTGCTCTACTAGGATAATAACGAACAATTAATGTGGCAATAAGTTGTGAAAAAGTTGGGACAGCAAAAACAAGAAAATATTTAACTAAACCAGATGTTTGAATGTCCTAAGCTCTCTTGTTTTTTACGAAAAAAGGCATGTTGAACTGAACTTTTCAATTATTAAAGCACGCCCATGTGTTCATTAAATTTGTAATTTGTTGCATCTCTAATAAAGAATGCCAACTGAAGGCTGACAATAAATAATAACATTATATTGTTATACATCGGGACAAAATGAAGAAAAAAGATTCATGTAGTCAATCCTACAATGGGATAAAAACTTGATGATATTGTTGTTGTTATATGCCATTAATGTTTTAGAGCATCTGTTGGGGAATGAACAACCTTAGACAAGCTCCTTGACGATTCTACCAAATATTCCCAATGATATATTTCATAAATCAAGTTCAAGTTCGAAAAGCTTGAAGAATGTCCTGAAAACCAGCAAAATTTACTGAACTGCAAGCACATTGATCGCAATATGTTGACCATATAGGCCCATGTAGGGCACATGCAAAAAGGTTCATACCCAAGAGACACAGTTAGAAGGGACACTGGCTTAAAGAAACACATGCTCAAAACAAGCCTCACCTCAAGAGGCAATGGTCAGAACCAATCGGTGAGAAAGCATATATTTGTCTAAGTGGAGCTTGCAACATATGAGCTAGCCTCTGGAGGATCAAATCAAAGATGAGCTCATACCTGAAAAGTTCATATATAGGACTCACCTCGACAAGCCTTTGCCCTAATGAGCGCAAGGTCCAGGAGGATCTACTCCTCTTAGTAGTTAAATCTCATAAGAATAGTTAACAGATCAACCATCTTCACCATATAACAAATATAATTTTTTTTTTGCATTATGGAAACCTTTAGGGGCTATTTGATTGCAAGATTTATCCAAGATTCAAGATAAATCTTGTTAAACTACTACCTTTTTATATCACATTTTCCACTTGTTTTAAGCTAAATATTCGATTTAATAAACCATAAAATAAGATTTAATAGATGCATGACAACTCTCCTCAATATGCCTCTTTTTTCTCCTTCATTTAAATCATAAATCTTGAACATATTTTCCAAACTATTTACTAAGATTTAATAAGATTTAACATCTATCATGCCAAACAATTTTCAGGATTTAAAGCTTGCAGAATCTACTAAATCCTAATTTAGACAAACAACTTTTTTTACAAAATCTTGAGCTATAATTCAGCCAACACAGTGTTTTCCAATATAAGGTAAGCTTGTGCTTTTAAGAAAACAAGCCATAAACATAAGAAGGTTAGTAGAAAAAACTGAGCAATGCACCCACCCAATAAAATCCACAACCATATAGAAAATTCATTTTCACCGTAGATTATTTCAGTATATAGCTTTATTCTTACAAGAAGCTGAAACAACGAAGTCTTTTGAATTGCTGATATTTCTTTGAAAGACTTTTGGAGTTACGAATCTTGATCCACCCAAAAAGGTACATTGAACCCTGATATTGCAAGCTTTGGAAGTGAATCTTTCGCCAAGAATTTCTTTGTTCAAAGTTCCGAAAACAAAAAAGGATTGTTGCTCTGCCACAATGGATGGCTGCACGGCTCTGCACAAAATAGGAGCCTAAACAAAAGTGGCAAGCAAAGCCGTTTTAGTCGAACTCACAATCCAATAGCCAAGGAGGTTCTTTTTAGGGTTTAGTATGGTCAGCAGGGACACACGTACTACAGTTATATGCTCTTAGATAGAAAGAAAGCAGAAAGAGATAAATCAGAAATCAGTGCAACAAAAATAAAGAACAATGCTGAAAAAGAAAAATTCAAATTTCACTTGAAAATTAGTCTTTGAAAGCTAGACTCTCAAATTTGTTATATTTTCTGAGAAAACTCCATTTAATTTCTCCTCGGTGACACGAAAGGGAAATCAAAAGTATGGTATAAATCAGGAATTCAAGAAAATACCTACTTCTCAGCAAGTAGAAGTAATAGTTAGCAAATCAACCAAGCAAGAGAGAGAGAGAGAGAGGAGAGCGAGAAGAATGAGGGAGAGCGGACCTGCGGAGAGATCTGAGAGCAGAAATAAGGAGACATTCTGAGAGGCAAGTACAAAGCTTAGATGCCCATACTGCAAGTTAATTAAAGCTTCTACTCACAAAAAGAGTACAAGATTAAATTAAAAATAAGGAAATAATGAAAGGATCCGCAGCTTGAGGCTCAAAAGTCAAAACATATTTTATATTATGAAATTTGTTAAAAAATTGGAACTGAGATAGAAGCACAAAATAACCCGACGAACCGGAAACCGGGAGAGAACCGGCCACTTACGCCTTAATGCGATTTCCACCGTTTGATATTAATCATGCGGTATTTTAAGAATTTAAGTATTAGTAAAACATGTAAAGCTAAACCTAATTTTATTTTCTACCTCCCGTAACTCCCGAAGCCGACTGTCTCTGATTTTCTTCCTTCGTCACTGTTCGCTGCAGCTCCTCCTTCATCCTTTCGTCGCTGTTCGCTGCAGCTCCTCCTTCGTTGCTCGTCGTTGTAGCTCCTCCTTCGTCCATTCGTCGCTGGTCGCTGCAGCTCCTCCTTCGCCGTTCGTCGCTGCACCTCCTCCTTCGTCGGTGCTTGAATCATTGTAAGGTGAGGAGATTGTATACAAACTAAAAACCAAAAAATTGATGTTTAGTTTGATTTCAATCGTTGCTGGCTTTCAAAATTTGTTATGCGTTGATTTCAATCATTGATTAGGTTTAGTTTTATTTCAAACTAACATCAATCGTCGCTGTGATGTTTAAAGAATGGCTGTGATGTAATCTTTACAAAACTTAAAATCGGAGAGAAAATGAGAATGTGACAAAAAAAAAACTGAGAAATACTCTGATAACCAACTAGTTAGAAATTCTTAATTGTTCGTTATAGTTTAATATGAACACCATTTTTTTACTTAGATATACTAGGAGCACCATTAGTTACATATAAGTTCTTATTGGAAGTAATCGTTCAAGAAAGATATCTTATTACAGTTATGGAGTTAGATAATAAAGAAAAGCTAAATCTTACAAAACACTCATATTAGTATGCATCTTGAGAGGTTTATATACTTTTAGATTTGACTTTATAGTTGAAATTTTGAATGCCATGTTTCTTTTAACGCAGTTTTCATTTAAATTTTTTTTTTGAAATGTTGACACAATTTCACTAGTCCTATAAGGTTATTCTTATGAATTTGTGATTCAAGAAATTAATAATACAGATTTATATCAATTTTAGTTTAATTTATAGAGATGATTATTTTAGAAATTTATTAGGAGTTTAAGCATAAGAATTTCCATTAGATTTATTAATTTCTAAAGCCATGATTGATTCAAGTACACAAGGTATGTCATCTTCATCACATATATTAGTTCAAGCTATTGCATTTACTTATTATATGCATACATTTGATGTTCTTTGCACATCTAGATACCTGGCTGAATTAGAGATTCAGTATACCTTCTTCTAAAAAAAGCTGGCACAAACAAAAAATACAGGAAAATTTTGATTATACACTACATTAATGCTATGCATATAACATGTTGGTGTTTATTTTGTTCCATTGTTGTTTATTATTAACAACATAGAGTTCACTTTTCATGCTAAATATTGATCCATTTCAGATTTAGCAATTGCTAGATAGTTTTATGATAGTTTCATTCCATTCAATGCCATCAACTCACCTTTAGCACAAAAGGCTATTGATGTAGTTGATGCAATAGGACCTGGATACAAATTACCGTCTTACCACAGATTAAGAGTGAATCTATTACAGGATGCGAAAGAGGAATGTAAATTGCTAATTGAATCTTATAGAAGAATATGAAAATAAATTGGTTGTACATTGATGGCTGATGGTTGGACAGATACAAGAAATAGGGCATTAATAAATTTTCTTATTTATTGTCCTCGAGGAGTTTCATTTTTAAAATCAGTAGATGCATCTGATGTCATTAAAGATGCCACAACATTGTGCTCATTATTCACTGATATCGTTGAATGGGTTGGTCAGGAGAATATAGTTCATTTTATATCAGATGATACAATAAATTATAAGAAAGTTGTTGAGTTATTGCATGAAAAATATGGAAATATCTATTGGTCACCTTGTGCAACTCATTGCATTAATCTCATTCTGAAAGATATTGGAAGCATACCTTATATTATAGAACTAGTTATAAAAGCTTCAAAATTTACAATTTTTATTTATAACCATGCTTTTATATTGGCTTGGTTAAGAAAAAGGAAAGGTTGGATTGAAATTATAAGGCCATGAGTAACTAGATTTGCAACAACATTCATTACATTAAGAAGTGTCCATGATCATAAACATGATTTGCAAGCATTCATCACCAACAATGCTTACATTGATTCAAAGCTAAGTAAAACAATGAAAGGGAAAGAGGCAGCCTCAATTATTTTGGATGCAAAATTTAGGAATGACAGCTTCATAATTTCTAAATTATCAGGGCCCCTAATTAGGTTGTTAAGAATTGTTGATATAGATGAAAAGCAGCAGCCTCAATAACCTTTAAAGGTATATAATTGTTATTTATCTAAAAATCTTAAAAGGCCAAAGCCTTAAATTGTACAAAATTTGTATTCATCTAAAATATTAGACGTATATATGATGCCCAAAAATCTAGTTTGAAAGAATTACCTATTTTAAACCTTCTCACCAAAAAAAATATTTAATTTCATATAAACATCAATACATTGAGCAATTTCCTAAAGTCAAATACATAATAGTTAGGGGTGTCAAAATCGAGTCACGGGTCGGGTTCGGGTCGAACCCGACTTGACCCAGACCTAAATGGGTAAACCCGAACCCGACCCGTTTAGGGAAACGTCACTTTTCAAGACCCGAACCCGAGTTCGGAACAACCCGGATTGATCCGCCGACCAGTTGCATAGATATAGCAAGTTACAGGAAACCAACCCAGTTACCCAGGTAGCAAAGGATTCAAAAACGAAACCACGACGTGCAGGTGAATAAAAGGCAACCAAGACAGCAACATAGGAAAACCAAGAGTCCAAGACAGTAAACAAGGCAAACCAAGACAGCAATTCAATAACTTATAAATTAAACCTTATTCCAACAACTTATAAATTAAACAAACTTACAAATAGTCAAATTATACATCATAATTCATAAAAATTGAATGAACAAATAAATTACATATCATATATATAATTTTACAAACATATAATTTCACAAATTACAAATCACAAAGTTGTAAATTACAATTTACAAATATAACTTTGACTATTTGAAGAACTCAGAACTCTGGAGACTAGAAGTTATTTGCATGCCCTCATGGAGATTTACGCTAACTACAAAAAATATAAATAGTTAAATTGATATAATTATAAATTCATGAATTAGTTGAAAGCTTCAGTCATTAGCTCAGATTAACCCTCTAAATAATTCATCAAATAAGGAAATGTGAGTCAACAATACAATTTTTTAAAGTTGCGGTATTGTCATCCAAAGAAGCATTTTGTATTTTTGAGTTATATGTAGTATCTATTTGATTAAACGATAACACAAATGTCACCTAGTTGCAATAATTTTTTTCTCCAAATGACTTCACAATTAATTTAGAAGGGTACTCATCATCGCTACTCAACTTTCAAAGCTCTTGAAAACAACCCAGCATTTGAACACATACAACAAGTAATAGAAAACCAACCCATGCAACAAAGGATTCAAAAACGAACCATGACAGCCAGGTGAATAATAGGTAACTAGGATAGCAACACAAGGAAACCAAGAGTCCAAGATAGCAAACAAGGTAGACCAAGACAGTAATTTAACAACTTATAAATTGAACCTTATTCCACCAACTTATAAATTAAACAAAATTAAACAAGACACATTCCCAATGAAACCAAAACAACATCCCAGGAAAACCAACCCAACAACCCAGGCAACCAAGACAACATTCCAGGGCAACTAAGACTTCAACCCAGGGAAACAAACCCAACAATCGGGACAACCAAGACACCTTCACAGGGAAACCAAGACATCATCACAGGCAACCCAACCCAGCAACCCAGGCAACCAAGACAACATTCTAGGGCAACCAAGACAAAAACCCTGGAAAACAAAGCCAGCAACCGGGGAAACCAAGATAGTTTCCAAGGCAACCGAACCCAACAACCCATGCAATAAAGACAACATTCTAGGGCAACCAAGATAGCAACCTAGGGAAACAAACCCAGTAACCAGGGCAACCAAGACACATTCCCAGGGAAACCAAGATAAGATCTCAGCCAACTTAAACCAGTAGCCCAAGGAACCAAGACAACATTCTAGGACAACCAAGATAATCCAAGGAAACTAACCCAGCAACCGAGGTAACCAAGACACCTTCCTAGGGAAACCAAGACAGCATCCTAGGCAACCCAATCCATGTAACCAAGACAATAGTGAACAAATCCAAAAAATTCACCATAAATTATTGGAACCAAACCCAACCCAACAACCTAAATAACATGGAACAAACAATGCAATGTAGCAAAAATTGTGTCTTCCAACAGCATAACATCAACTAAAATAAAATAATATGTAGCCAACTTGTAGTTCTTGAAACTTAAAAGGAAATATAAATAGGCATGAAATAACTAATAGGCAAGCTCTGTATCACTTATGTTCATCCAACAACTGAGCTTTCACCAAGCTCTCTATCACTTCTATTCACATCTAAATTAAGGATATCATCAATTACTACATCAAGTTTTGGGTCATTTTCTGCTACAACACAACGAGATAAATGATTTTAAGATCTTAAATAAATGATAAAAATATAAAATTGCTTTAAGATGAACGAATAATCACCATGTTCTCCGTATAACCAATCCTTAGCACAAATTAGTGCCTCGATAATATCATGTTTCAATGCACTTTGATATTGATCTAAAATTCTACTGATATTGCTGAAGACACTTTTAGATGCTACTATTGTTATTGGAATGTATAGTACATCATGGGTCATAGCTGAAACACTAGAAAATCTATATTGGTTCCCTTGCCAGAACTTCAAAATATCTAAATCTACATTGCTATCAAGCTTAGGTTCATCTAGGTAAATGTTTAATTCAGATTTCCTAGGTGTAAAAGCACCCTTCTGAAATGAATCAAAATCCTATTTTTGAAAAGGCATTGGAACAAAAAATGAAAAACAATTGAAGTTGCAAATAT